TTTAATAGTGTGTGTGTTCGTATCCATGTGAATTTGTCAAAACCATAATCACAAGACAAGGTTAGTGACAAATCCAAACTCATATTGATTAAACTTGTGCAATCTTAAATTCTTGCCATTTGGCAGCTCAGGTGCCTGCCATTGCTTCCAAGTAGTTGTGCAACCAATTGAGAACTCTCAGAACTCCTATGCAAAGCCAACTTGAATAGGCACAAAAATTTCAACACGATAGGTTATAAACCTCAAGTCGTGTGCTAGTGAAGGACTTTAGGTTTTATTCTTGATTAAGTCTTGAAACTTTCAAGAGCTTTAAGACTCCCACTGTCCTCTTTACATATAAGACTCCCTTGTCAAATATTCAAGAGATAGTGCAGATTCTTTATCAAGACTAACACTTTACACAATTGGCCTAAGTTGGTCTCTGTTTTATCCAAAACATCACAACTTACCAATTTCAAATGTACAAGAGTAGATAACCTTTTACTCTTACATTTGACTAGTGTTAACAAACCCTCTTTAAGATATGTCACTCAAGTTACAATCTTGGAGTATGACTCTAAGAATTGTTTTGGAACGAAGTATGACTCATCTTTTTGATTTAACCATTTCAACAATTCATGACTCCTCTTCTTAGTCATAAGAATGCACTAAGATGACTTTAGAGGACCAATTGTGATATGGTATCTTAATCATTAAGATGATCATAACATGATACTAAAGTACTCTCCCATCTTTTCATATTTGAGAAACTTTTATCTTTCTGCCATACTTTGATTCTTCTTATTCGTTCTGTCTCACATTGAAACTTCTCCAATGCTACAGACTTATACTTAAACTTATAAGTATAACCATATTTACTGAACTTAAGTAAATCATGACGAATAGTCTTCTTGATCTTTTGTGGTGGACTTGACCAGTGCACAAGAATGTGTACTCGATCCCTTAGTCCTTTCCTTATTCACATAAGGAATTAGTCTTAATTTTCCAAGCTGAAAGTTCTCATTCATCATACTATACAACTTGCATGATTCCAAGTTTCGGTCCAATTGAACCTTGGGTGATGAGAATCTTTCCTTATTTGGTAATATTAGACACTACCACAACCGAAAGAATCAAATCCATTTTTCCAATATTGCTATCAATGAAATCTTATAAGCAACAACTTTTCACAAATGCCATTGTAAGGATACTTAAAATAAATAAAATCAAAACCTTTTTCTTTTATTTTAAAACTTTGCGGAAAAACTTATCCTTACAATCCATATGAAAACCTTGTTGTTATCTATTCCTAAGCAATATAAATATCATAACTCTTAAGTAATAGCCCAAAATTCTGATCACCGAACCATGCGATTGAAATCCATCTTCGCGATCAGAATCAGCATGTACTTAATAGAGTTAGACAATGGACTTTACCTGAAGTAGAGCCAAACTTATTGACTTTAACATCCTTAGGTAAATTTGGCAGCTTCGTAACCAATGCCCCTTCCTTTGGCAATAGTTACCTATGGACCCTTGATAATGGGACTATCTCAGACTTCGCCTCTCTCTTTACCATTGGGTCAACCGAGTTGACTATGGCCGATCCCTTTCCATTGGGAAGAGAGAGCTTTACTGGATATCCAATGTCATCATTGTCAATGTCCATAGCGTTTTAGGAAGTTGATCTTAGCAAATAGATAAGATCATTAAGGGTCTTGTCTTAGTCTGTTTCATAGGATTCCCAAAAGAACTCACTATGTGACTTAGAAAGTAGTTGAGCCACCAACTTTCTCAAGACTTTGACACCCAACTCTCCCGGCTTGTCAATATGTGACTACATCTCCAAGATGTGATCACACCTAGACCTTGCCTTGCCAATAGGCTTGAGTGACCTTAAACTTTTTAGGAACTTGTGGGTTAGGGAGAATAATGGAGGAGGTGAAAGAAGTATGATATCCATGGGACATCATCTTCATTTAGGAAAGCTTGTTTCAAGAGATTTGGGAAGATCATAAATGTCTAGACCATACATCTTTTGGGAGATATTCAAGATAGTTGATTTAAAGTCCTTAATATGACACCCAATATGAAATATTAAGGCTAGGACCCAACAAACTATTTTATAACTTAGAAGAGGGATGTCGTAATCCAAGCTATAAAATATTTGAAGGTAGGTGAATGACGATTCACCAATTTCCACCATGAAAAACGAAATAATTTATTAGGTTTTAATTGGATTTGAAAGTCCTAGATCTTTGAGATTCATTGAACTGTTCAAAGGCATGTTTCAATCTCGAGTGTGCCCTTCAGGTTTTGTGACTGGGATGCCGAGGATCACAAAACAAGGTGTGAATAACCATGCAAATATACTTGGTACCCTTAATATTTACCCCTTAATCAGTGTGTCGGTTAACCACACACGCTCCACCGATACTATGATAAATATTAAGTTACCCTTTGCCTACCTTGTTAAGTCCAGGTTAGTGTGCCGGTTAACCACACACGCTCCACTAACGACTTAAGCAAAGTGCAAAGTGTAATTTCATGGGTTAGCACCAAATTCACATTTCCCTAAGTAACTAAGATTGGATATTAATAAGAGTTTAGTTACTTAGTATTTATCATTAATACTTTTAATGAAAGGAGAATTATAGTCCTTGTCTTACCCGTTCGGCTAACGACCCTCCACCAGTCAAGGAAGCGGTGGGTGAGAGTGGACACCCATTAAACTGCCATTTTATAGGCCGTAACCTTATACCCCCCTTATAGACCGGCTTCGTGAATGAGGCCTACTAACGGTAAGACTGACTTTACTCTTATACATATATATAAATATTATTAACTTATAATATTATAAAGTATAAGGGTTGAATTTTAACTTTTAAAATTCTAAGGGCTAACTTGGAATTAAAGTATTCATAAGTGAAAACTTTTCAAATTCCAAAACTTGAGGGCAAGTTTTGAAACTATTCAAAACTAATTAATTCCATAACTTATGAGTTTAAAGTAGTTTTAATTAAAAAAAAAAAAAAAAAAAAAAAAAAAACTCTTCAAGTTCCATAACTTGAGGACAAGTTATGGAAGACTTTAAACTAATTAATAAAAAAAATAACTTTTTTTATTGTAACTTATGGAACTAATTAAGGTTACACTTTTTTTTTAATTTAATGAAGAGACTCTTGAACCTCCATAACTTGAGGACATGTTATGGAGTCATAAAACCATTTAATTAGAACTAGACTCTTCATTTTGTAACCTTTGCCAACTTTTATGAGTTTTATGATTCTTAAATGTGACTTTTCATATAACTTGAGGACAAGTTACAAAAACACACTTTGGAATCAACTCTTAGATTAAAATGGATTGAAAATAACTATTTCACACAACTTTTCTATTAATCTAAGAACCTCATAAGAACAAGATAATTCAAATCATCAATCTTCAAGAAATTAGCATGAACATACAAACTAATACAAATCTTGAAATTATGACAATTATCTTAGAAATTGGATTAGCATGAACATTACCACATCGAAAACAAGTTTATAAGTCCAAAAACATCTTAGGGTAATGTTCCTAGTCCAATTCCAGCCAAAACAATCGAATATATGCATCCAACTCGATTTTTCAGCTACTTTTGCAAGTATAACAAGAAAACAAGCCTAGGCTCTGACACCACTGTTGGGTTATGAGCATTCTAACACTCCTAAGTGTACATGCAACCCTAAATACCTTGGATCTATGTTTCTCTATTATACATACAATTATGAACATCCAAGGTATTATCCTAATCTAGCATACAAAATAATAAATATAACAAGATAGAATATATACCTCTTTGATGTAGAATGTCTTCATGAAGCTTGAGTGCCTAGTCCCCCAAGTGTGACACCTCAAATGGTTCACACAACACCAAATACACTTGGAATAACTTGAGAGAAACTTGAACACTCCTTGAAATCGTCTAGCCCTCACACTCACACATTAGTGCACGATTTCTTGAGCCATGGGATTCTTTTATATGGTGGCTATTAGGGTTACACCATGTAACTCATAACTTTACCCATTCCTTATGCTCCATGGATTTTAACCTCCATGGAGTATCCATGGGTCACCCCATGGACTTCGTCCAACATAAGGAATCTTGGATCACAAGCCCACATATATAAGAATGAATGATTTACACAATCAACCCATATATTTAATTAGTCTCCTTTTGATCACTTAATTAATTCCAAATTAATTCTTGATCAATACTAATTAAATAACCTTATTAATATATTAGAACTTATAATATATTAACCAACCTTAAGTGTTATTTCTCTCATTATAGTCTATCCAAATGCATGATGCCATGCAACCCAACTGGACCATGCCGGGTCGGGTCAAGTCTTACCAATTATAGTTATGGACTTAGACATTAATCCAACATGTGTTGTTGGTAAGGTGCACAGCATATCCATCATTTCCAATCCTAACCTCATATTTTTGTACCCCAGAAGGTATAACTCCCCAAAATCTGTCCACAAAAATAACAAGTTCTATTAATCTACTAGATGACATAATAATACTTATAAAATACAAGTTATATCATACCTTTGTTGTTTCTTTAACTTTGATATCTTTAATCTTATAGATGGGCATATTTTTAAATTACCCCAACTTTTTCCCTCTAGCAGTATTCTATACATCCTCTCCATTGCATAAATCCGAATCTCTTCCAACATGGTGATGAGTGGTCTCTTCCTAGCAAGATCAATAACAGAGTTGAAACTTTCTGATATGCCATTCTCATAAGCATCACAAGCCCTGTCCACTTCAAAGAATGCCCTGCACCAACTTTTAGGGTCCCTTTCCATGAGGTGTTCATAAGCTAAAGGGTCAATTTTTTTATGGAATTCATTTCTGCCTCAAATTTAGGTTGAGTAGTACTAGCAGCAGCTGCCCAAAACAACTTCCTGTATTGTTCACCTTTGAATCTTTTCTTGAAGTTAGCATAGATGTGCCTAGCACATTGTCTATGCTCTGCTGCTGGAACTCTTTCTTTGACAGCCTCTACCAATCCCTGAAAGAAACAAGGTATGGATGACATGACAAAAAACATTGAACTCAAACAAAACATAAAAGAAAATATACCTTGTGTTGGTCTGATATGAGGGTCAATCCATGACCAATTCCCATTTCAATGTCATCCAGTAGGAGGTCAAGAAAACCACTTCCATGTTTCCTTATTTTCTACTGCCACCACAGCCCATGCAATAGGGAAGATGTGGTTGTTTCCATCCCTTCCCATAGCTGCTAACAGTTGGCCTCTACATATACCCTTTAAAAAACAACCATCTACCCCTATTACCCTCCTACATGCTGCAATCCAACCATCCTTCACACCCTTAAAACACACATACATTTTAGAAAAGTAAGTGGTGGAATCAGGCATGACATTCACATCTATCTTTACTGTTGAACCAGGATTTGTCCTCATTATCTCTTCACCATAACTCCATACTTTACCATAATGTTCTATCAAACTACCCTCTATCTCATCCAAAGCATATCTCTTAGCATTTCTACACTGAGTCACACTAACAATCAAGTTAAACTTTGTACTCACTTTGGCTTTCATTTTCCTTATGCTCATTTTGGGGTTCTTCAAAAGCTGATTCTTAAAATGCTTTTCAATCCATTTATATGTTACAATGGAACCAAGTTTGAAGACTCTTGAACAGTTATGGTCATCAACCAATGACTTAATCTGGAAAGACCTTTCACTACTCATCTAGGAAGCCCACAGTCTAAAAGGACAAGAGGGATTCTTGCTATCTTTACAACATCTCACTAATAACCTCTGACTATCATTTTTCTCATAATAAAGATTGTATCCATTCTTCACTGCATAGTTAGTCAAACAATTTTTCAATTCCATAGGGTTAGAGAATCTCATACCTAGAATTGGCACCATTTTGTCCCATTTCTGGTTCTCATTATGGATAGGGTACACTGGTTTGTCATCCCCATTGTTGGTTTTAACCTCATCAGTTTCAAGCTCATCATTTTTATCCTTAGAAATACCTGACACCCGGTGTAAGAATTCATCACCAACAGTCTTGTCAAGAGAAGGAATGTAACCATCTGCTTCATGCTCATATGGAATATCATCAGAAAGTTGTGAATCTTTATCATCATCCACATCTGGCTCAGAATAATACCCTTCATCATCTTCTAGTACTTCCATATCAGCCCAATCAAGTACAACTTCATTTTCGTGGTCTATATACACATTCATTGTTAGACTAGCTTCATCACTATAACCCGTTTCAATAAACTCATAGTAGTCAGAAATCATTCCCAATTCTCCTAATACCCTCTGCCAATGGTTCATTTATAGTGCAGTAATATACATTATCGCAACTGCCTTCAATCAACTTTGCAACGAACAACTTAAACTCTTTGAGATCCATTGCACCAAAATCGACATCAGAGATTGAAACAACAACAGCGTTCAAGTACACTAATGATTTTGGTGCAAATAAACCATTATAATGTACATAAACTGTCAAATACTTACTGAGTTTGGAATCAGAGGCCATCTTCTTCACTGTAACACTCGTATTCACCACTTCTCTTCAATTTCGTAACTATAATCTTCGATTAAACCCTAACTGTAAGGAGAAAAGGGGGTGAAAGAGTAACGGGTTTGCAACGTGTTCTAGGTCTACGTAATAAGACATGTCATCTCTAATTAAATGAGATAACCGGCAAAACAGGTGATAACCGGTATCGAGGGTTTTGGTGAGCAGGATTATTAAGTTCAATGGTATAATAAAGACAAAAAAAAGATAAGGGACCAAATGAGTACTTATCGAAGACTTTATTACCCTCAAATGTCATTTTCCCTAAATACGAGGACCAAATTTGCATTTTTCAAATAGATAGACGTAACGTTTTCTTTATATTCTGCAATATTTCAGTCACTATTCAAACATCAATCACTATTTGTTCGTCGATTTAAAACTCCCCCCTCAGTAGTCTCTATGGTGCTTTAGAGGTTGGAATCAGATGACGAAGAAGCAGAGAATGCCCGAGGTGCTATGGAAATTGTTTCAAAATCGTGCGCTTACTCTCGCTGAAACCATACTATCCTTGATCCCTCAACCATCGTCGGCGACGGTTCAACTCCGGTGCACGGGTAGTCAGCCTTGTCTCCACTGCTGTAGCCACGGTGACCGTATGTCGTTTCTGCTCAGAGAAGACGATCCATCTGACTACTGTAAGCTCCTCAATCAATGTTTTGTGGTCGCCTCGGACATTGCGGCATCTCCTCCTTATTTCCATCATCATTCTCGTTGGTCTCAACTAGAGGTCTCTCTCTCTCTCTCTCTCTCTCTCTCTCTCACACACACACACACAGCAAGTGTACTTTTGAAGAAAAGAGGTTCAATTTTGACTTTCTACGAAAATGAAAAATGGAGCAAAACTTGAGATTATTGTCTATTTATGAAATGAAATATGTATTCGATTACTTGAAAAAGAAAACTCAGTGTTGTACATGAAGTGGTCACTACTCCATCTACTTGAATCAACGAATTCCATTACCATCGAATGCTATAATCTTCTTCTAACTCATAGTCTCATATAATTGCATTGATGGCTATGTGTAGATTGTTACAAGGACCATTGAAATGATGTTACGTGAGAAAACACCCACATCCACAGAAAATATGATATGGGCAGGTTATAACAAGGTAAGCTACTTTTATGGGGTTATAGCTGAACTTGTAAGCTGTACCCTTTTGTTGTCTTCATGACCTTTACTTTCTTTTTCTCTTCCAACAAAAACCTATATATATTAGTGCTAATCAGTTGATATATATTGACAGCTTAATCGTTCAAGCATCATTGTAGAAGCTCTTACATCAGCTTCATGGTGTCTGCTTTCAAAGAGGGTAACCCGTATTTCATTCTCCTCTCTTTCCCAAAATGATGAAATGTTCTAAAGATATATATATTTAGATCAAGATAGAAGAATCTTTGTGAAACAAGTAAACAGGAAATCAATTAAAGTAAACGTTGAAAAGATGAAACTGAAGTATCTTAATTAGGGATTGTCTTGTTCTAATGTGGTTATCAGGGTTATAAAATCTTTATACCATACTCATATGCAGGTAGGAGATGGGCTAATGGTGTATCTACTGAAGAATTTTTCAATATTCATTCAAGTGGATCAACACAAGCACCATCAGGTAGCAGGAACTCCCATTAATGACACGTGCTGGTCCTGCTGGAAACTCTTGAAATATACATCCGATTCCATAAGTTGTATCACTTGTTATGGATGCAATGTGAAGGCTTCTGTAACCCAATGTGGACTTCACATGAAACACTGCTCCAACTTCAACACCACTTCTACTTCTAATGAGGATTCCATCATAGTTCCTGAAAATGGAGCTGGTAGGAAGCGAGCAAGAGCATATGCATGGCTACACAGGCATAAACGAAGGAAGTTGTTATCCCAACATCACAAGATGTGTGATCATGCAGCCTCTACTTCACCTCACAAGGTAATTAATTAGTTGAAAAGTTTTCAAGTATATATATAATATATAATATATGATATGGTAGATGTGTTGTTCATATGGTCTATATATATATATATATATATATATATATATATATATATATATATATATATATATAAATACGTTTAATTTTATTTTTTCACTCCCTTTGTTAATCTTGCTACAGATATCATTCTCTCCGTAAGCATCTCAAGCTTCTTATTGGAAGAGCCAAACACTGCCCACGTTCAAAGATATTGAAAAAACATATCTTGGATAAAAAAGGGTTATATTGCTCAAAAGGGCAAGTGGTGTCATTTATATGGGCAGCTTCTAGAAGCATTGTTCCACAAGAACTACTAGGAAATTTGAGACCCCTCAGAAAGAACATTTCCAAGTTTATCAAATTAAGGTTATACGAGAAGTTTTCCTTAAATGAATGTATGCATAAACTCAAAATGTCAGATTTCTCCTTCCTATCAAATAGACACTCTTTGTGACTTCAAGTTTGGGGAAAGCAGAGGAATAGTTTTGGAAAGATGGATGTATTGGTTCTTCACACACCTGATAGTGCCATTAATACAAGCCAACTTTTATGTCACTGAGAGTGAACATGGAAAACTGGATGTTTTCTATTATGAGAAATCAGTTGGGGAGAATCTGATGAAAAGTTCAGTGTCAATCTTGAAAGACAAGTGCTACACTTTATTAGATGTGAATGATGTCAAAAAGATTATAAGTAAGAGAAGATTTGGTTTCTCAAGGGTAAGATTCCGTCCAAAACAAAATGGGATGATGAGACCATTAGCCAATCTTAAATCATCGTCAACACTTCCCAACACCAATAGGAACTGGACAGCTGTAAATGTTGTTCTTAGAGATCTGCATGCTGCCCTAAAAGACCTTCAACTTGAAAAAGCAGAAAAGTTAGGATCATCAGTTTTCAGCTATAATGATGTCCACAGAAAGTGGCGTGAGTTCTTGACAGGTGTCAAGAGTGGATTGGGTGGTGATGGTGGTGGTGTATATATGGTTGTTGCTGATGTCCAGAAAGCTTATGATTCTATTGATCAGGATAAACTTGTTGATGTGATGAAAGATGTGATCACTGATGATCATCTTTTACATCATACACAAAATATCAGCATTTCAACAAACAGAAAACTTCAAATCTCTAAATACATCAATTCATCTACACAATTCCGATCTTACCCTTCATCCCACACCCACAGCATCCTTGTTGATACGGTATATATCTGTTTTTATTTATAATATGTGAATTAAAAATAATTGATGATATTTTGATTTTAGGGAAGAAAAAGAAAAGCAAGGAAAGATGAATTGCTTTTTAATCTGCAACAGCATGTGAAGTACAATGTGTTAAAAATAGACAAAAACTTTTACCTCCAAAATTCTGGTATGCCTCAAGGAAGTATTTTGTCTCCATTGTTGTGTTCATTCTATTATGGGCACATGGAAAATAGTAAAATTGTTCCGTTTTTAGATAAGGTTGGTATGTCGGATGGAGGGCATTCTTGTCAGAAATTGTTGATGAGGTTTATTGATGATTTTCTTTTCATCTCAACATCAAAGAAACATGCTGTTGCGTTCTTGTCAAGGTTAGGAAGAGGATTCAGGGAGTATAATTGTGAAATGAACAAAGAGAAATTTGGTGTAAGTTTTGATTGTGACATGATTATAGCAGAATCAAACTCAAAATCAAATAGGGTTTATTTTGATGAAGATGGTAATAAAAAGTTTCTCAAGTGGAGTGGTTTGTTAATTAACTGTGATACTCTAGAAGTTCAAGCAGACTACACCAGGTTATTTATTTATTTAATTTAATTTTTACTTCAAATATGTTTTTGTTTTTGTTTAATAATTTTTATGATGGTTTTTGATAAGGTACTTGGATGGGGATATAAGTTCAAGTCTTACAGTGAGTTGGAAAGGGAGTCCAGTTGTTAATTTGAGGGAAAATTTGTGCAACTATTTGCGACCAAAATGTCATGCCATTTTCTATGATTCAAAGATAAATTCAGAAGGAGTTGTGAGATTAAATATCTATCAAGCGTTTCTGATATGCGGGATGAAGTTCCATGCTTATGTCTCTCATGTATCTCACATGTGTGAGCTTGATGCGGGATCCTATATGAACATCATCCGCAACTCTTTGAGGTAATTCACAAAATAAATCCACGATTTTCTGTATTTGTATGATGTTACATGTGTTTGTCATTTTTGTTAGGTTTATGTACAAGCTTATGAAGAAACAGATGTATTCTGGTTGTGTGGTAAGTGATGAAAGTTTAAGGCCAATTCTGAGGGTGAAAAAAAGAGAAGTGGAATGGCTTGGATTAAGAGCTTACTATGAAGTGCTAAAGCGGAAGACAGGGAGTTATAAGGATGTGCTTTTTTTGTTGAAAACTTCACTTGATGATCATGGAGAAATGGTGTCGCTGTCACCTGCCTTGAAGTTTGCTACTCACAAGTCTAACTCCTCCCTATTATGGAAAATCAAGTATTGAATCCTTGAAAGTTGAAACCTCAGTTAGGTGATGCACTTTTGATGTATAAAAACAATGAATACTTTGTCGTGTTATCATCTTTTAAAGTTGATCACAACGTGTTTGATGTTTTGTCTGAACTAGATTTACAAAAATCAGCTCTCAGTAAACTGCTACTACTTATTTTAGTCGTGACTTTATGTGCACAATGTGTAACATTCTTGCCAAACATGCATGATTGTTTCTCTGGTAGTATTCTCTAACTCTTCCATTTTAACAAAACTTTTTAAACTTATTTTGAGTTTGATTCTTCCATAATCATGTCACAATCAAAACTTTTACATTCTATAATGGCCTCTCCACTATAAACATTTCCTTTGATTGTGTCTTGGCTAGCCGAAATCCAAGCCTCGGCTAAATTGGTTTCTTCTTTTTCCGTCCAATTCCTCGATCCTGTTGGAGTGGGTTTAGTTTTTTTTTTTCCCTTTTCTTTTTGATTGTTTCCGTCCAATGGTGTTTCTAGTACTTCATCAGGAGAATCAGGTATCGGTTGTGGTTGCATGAAAGGTTGTTGGTACATCATACACAAAAACGGTTTGTTGGAAAAAAAATTGTTGTGAAAAAGGATGTTGGAAAATTGGTTGTTGTGGGATATGGAGATTGAAACTAAATTGTGGGGAGTCTAAGTTCGGAAACTGATGTGGTGTCGTGTCTAATGAAAACGATTCATCAACAATCCAGTTTCGATTTGTTTGTGGAATGTTGGGATTTTGTTCCGGGAGAGTAAGTTGGCACAATGTATTTATATATGTATGTGTAATAGAAGAAAAATAGAATGATGTGAAAAAGAATAAAATGAAGTGGTAAATTTATAAGTTTATAAAAAAATAGTTTTTTTTATAAGTAAATAGTTGTTCCAAACACTAGTCAAAAAGTCAAAACATGAATTAAAGTTTGAACCCTTTCATTGATGTGGTCTCTCCATATAGAAGACCACAATGTGTGGACAATCGTGATTGCTATAAACATGACTTATAAAGAGTATATTTTTTGGTCTAATGAAAAAAAAAAACGACGTGGTGTGAGTTATAAGTAGACAGGGTTTTATAATTTTGTTTAAAATTTTTAATATAAATTGAAATATAAAGGATAAAAAAAGTCATTTTAGTATGAGTTGATAGACTTAAACTTATGGTATTAACTGGGAACCAAAACCAAAACAAAATATATACATGTAAAAAGTAAAGACTATCTATGGAAAATTAAAAGTTTAAGACATGGACCTTAGTTATTTGACAAACACGAGGACCAAAGGGTGTAGTTTGATGATAAACACGGGACTAAATTTGTAGTTTTCAAATAATGAGACTGACCTTCCCTCTCCCTTCTGGCTTCTGCAAGGTTTCAGTCACTATTCCAAACGTCAATCACTATTGTGTATTCATGAGTATAAACCCAAGTTTTATTCGTAGATATAAAATGGGATATATACAGTAAAGTCCCGATATTTTCATCCAATTGACACGAAAGTCCCAAACTAATTTTTTTTGACACAAAAGCCTGAATTACCGGCATTTATTGACCCGATTGACATTTTTTGCCGGTAACTCATTTTATAGCCGGTAATCGAGTTGATGTGGCTACTAACGCTTACCTGGAAGATGACGAGGACATCATTAAATGAAGAAGAGTTAATCGAGCTGGAAAAACCTCTATTTCTACTGCGACGATTCTAGGGTTTTTACTGTGAGGGAGATACGAATTCGAGTCCGAGGGAGATACGAGTTGGAGCCTTGAAGATGGAAGGTGTGTTGGACTTTGACACAATCGACGTGGAACTAGATGAAGACCTTCTAAAGAAACAGAGTAGGAGATGTAGAGATGAGTTCTTGAACTCACTGTCTATTGACGATGAAGATGAAGACTTCATAATCCCATTATTCGAGAATATTGAAGATGATGAAGCACCCGTGGAAGAAGAACCTTTGGATGACGAACAGGAGGAGGAAGAAAATGTAGATGAAGTTGTGGATGAAGAGGAAAATGATAGTGAAGCTCAGTTTAAATATTCCACACATGATCCAAACGTGAAATGGAATAGAATGAAACCTCAAGAGGGAGAAAGGTATGAATCTCCACAGCAACTTAAACTCTGTTTAACAAATCATGTCATATATAAAGGTTATCAGATTAGGTTTAATAAATGTGATAGTGTTAGACTACATTGTGTGTGTGCTAGTGATCATGAGAAATTCGGTTGTCCTTATTATGTTAAAGCCTATTGGATGAGCACTGAAAAGTCATTCCAAATAAAGAAAATGTATCCACATCATACATGTGTCAAGAATTTTAACAATGGAAAACTTATGGGACCAACATGGTTAGCTAGACAATTCTTTAAAGAACTTATTAGGACACCTAATTTGAAAGCTATGGAAATCCAAGAAAAAGTTCAACACAAATTTCACACTAAGATTTCATGGGTAAGGAGTTATAGGGCTAGATGTAGGGCAATGTCCATGATTGAGGGAAAATTAGGTGATCACTATGCAAGGGTGTGGGATTATGGTGGTGAATTGCTAAGATCCAATCCAGACAGCACCATTAAAATTTGTGTTGAAGACAACAATGATAGTACAACTATTTTCAAAAGGATGTACATATGTTTCAAATCAATCAAAAAAGGGTGGAAGATGGGTTGTAGAAGGGTAGTAGGGATTGATGGACCTTTTCTGAAAGGGCAGTGTAAGGGACAATTATTAACAGCCATAGGTAGGGACCCAAACAATCAAGTTTTTCCCATAGCTTGGGCTGTAGTTGACATTGAGAATAAGTTTAACTGGAAGTGGTTCCTTCAGTTGTTAGAGGTTGACCTTGGAATGGATGCAGGAAGGGGCATGTGTGTAATTTCAGACCAACATAAGGGTCTTCTTGAGGCAACAAAGGAGGTGTTACCATATGTTGAGCACAAACAGTGTGCACGACATATCTATGCCAACTTCAGAAAAGTATATAGTGAAATTGAGTTAAGGAACCTATTCTGGAAGGCTGCCAAATCAACTGTAGAGGGGGAATTCAAGAATCACATGGATGAGATTAGACAGATTAGCCCAGGTGCTTATGAACATCTAATGGCAAGGGAGCCAAATACATGGTGCAAGGCTTTCTTTTCCACTGGATTAGCCTGTGAGGCTGTAGAAAATGGTATGGCAGAATGCTTCAATGCAGTTATACTTGATGCTAGGAAGAAGCCACTGCTGACCATGCTTGAAGAGATAAGGCTATATATGATGGACATGTTTTACAACCTCAGGGAGTTAGCTGAAAAATGGGAAGGAGATGTGTGTCCATCTGCAATTAAGAAAATGGAAGAATTTGGAGAGGACTTGAAGTAAGTTCTCCTTGTTTTGTATACATTTATGCTAAGTTATTAATAACTTTTATGCTAATTTAGTAATAACTTTTATTTGCAGGTTTTGGAGGGTACACCCTAGTGGGCAAAATGAATTTGAAGTTAGAAATGGTCTTGAATCATATGGAGTCAACATAGAGAAAAGAAGTTGTGCATGTAGACTTTGGGATGTATCAGGGATACCATGTGTCCATGCCCAAGCATCTATCATGTTAACTCATCAGGATCCAAAGACATTTATCAGCAGGTGGTTTGGTAAGGCAATGTACATTTCAAGTTATAGTTCTAACATTCTACCTGTTAATGGCAGCAATTTATGGGCTGAAGCTCCTTATATTAAGCCCTTACCCCCCTTAGAGAGGAGGATGCCAGGCAGGCCTACTGTGAAGAGGAAAAGGCATGTCTCAGAGAGGGATGACAAGTTCTCTCAAGTGTCCTCAAAGGGCAGAACTGTCCAATGTCAAAACTGTCAACAAAAGGGGCACAACAAGAAAACCTGTAAAAATCCACATGTTGAACCAGATCCTAAACCCAATAAGAAAATAGGCAGGCCAAGATTGGACCCTAGTCTAACCCAATGGACAAGACGTGGTAGAGGGGGGAGAAGGGGAAATAGAGGAGGTGGTAGGGTACCCAGAGGTGGGGGTGGCTTTCATAGTTGGTTTGAAAGAGGTGAAACCTCAAATACAGTACCACCCCAAAAAAGGGTCAATGAAGAATATAAATCGGAAGAGATGGTTGATGTAGATGTGATGAGTGATGGAGATGGGCTGGATATGGCAGATATGGACTACATTACACAACAAATTACAGAGTTGAGGAAATCAGGTTAGAGTGATGTAGACATTATGAGATGCCTTGGAATTACAAAAGCTCATTTAGAAGAGTTTGGATATGTGGTAAGGTTTCATTTAGTGTTTATGTATATGATTATGTGTTTTTTACTATTTTTTTTTTCTGTTTTAGGCTGCCAATGTTGAAGGTGGATTGGAAGGAGGTGGACAGGGTAATGAAGAAGAAGAAGGACATGGACAAGGAGATGGAGTGGAAGGAGGTGGAGATGGACAAGGTAATGAAGAAGAAGAAGGATATGGGCAAGGAGATGGAGTGGAAGGAGGTGGAGATGGACAAGAAGGAGAAGGAGATGGAGAAGAAGAAGATGGAGAAGGAGATGGAGAATGAGACGAAGGAGATGGAGAAGGGGATGAAGTGGAAGGAGTTGAAGCTGAAGATGTTCAAGGAAATGATAAAGGTGGAGAAGGAGTTGAAGTGGAAGCTGAAGATGTTCAAGGAAATGAAGAAGGTGTTCCAGTGAATGATCCAGTACAACAAGGGTATTTTGGGAATAATATGCAACACAGAACAAGGAGACCCTCAGAGAGGATCATTCTTCAGAAGCTAAAAAAGAAGGTGGTTGACCCTCTTGGTATAGGAATGTGTGAAGATAAGGCATTAATTATAGATTAGGGATAGGGGTTATCATCTTTTGGTTCATATTTTGTAAAAGGTGGTACTATGTAAACTGTTGCATACCATCTTTTGGTTCATATTTTGTAAATGGTGGTACATATCCACTTATATTGGTTCATATTTTGTAAACAATTACTAGTAATTAAGCAAGGGCATTAAGCAATGGTCACAATTGGTCAATGTCATATTTTAGTTCAAATTTGGTTGTGCAGGTTAGCCTTGGTTATTGACAGTTTTATTATTCATATGTGGTTCATAGTTGTTGTACTTTGATTTCACCATAATTCAGTACAACATAAGTAAAATGTTCATTACATTGCAAAAGAAACAACATCGTACATAGTGACTACATATCCCACTACATTATCTTAAAATACAAACCAAAACATAAACCCAAAATAAACCACAACATTGACCACCCTGGAACAACACCACCTGCACCTTGCACTTGAGCTGGAACTTCTACTACTGCTTCTTCCATTTGTTCTACAACATCTCCATTCCACCCATTGTGCAATTGTAAGAGCAAGTCCTTATACCACTGATTAGGGAGTGGAGGATCCACCCAATCAAAGAATTTGCAATCTTTACTCGAATCCTGGATAATCCAAGATTAAAGAAAGAAAAAAAACTAAAAGATGAAGAGTTTCAACATTAACAACTAACCCTTTAATTTGGGCATCCAATGAATCTTCTTCCAGGATTTCCTGTCTTCCATGAAGTCCACCTTCCAACTAAGTCACCACAGTCGCAATGTGTCCTTTGAGGGGGATTGGACCTTCTCACAGCCTTGCTTCCAACAGATGAAGAAGACGACATTCTCGTCTTTTCCTTTGAAAAATACGAAGCTAGGGTTCATGGGGATTGACGGTATGGTGCTTAAGTAAGGTCGACAACTCCACATAAGCCTCTCATTTAATAAATCAGTGGTCCACGTAAGCATTTGGTGCCACTTCACCAAGTAAACCGGCTGCACCGGCAAAAAAGGTCAATCGGGTCAATAAATGCCGGTAATTCAGGCTTTTGTGTAAAAAAAAATTAGTTTGGGACTTTAGTGTCGATGGTGCTTTAGTAGTCGGAACCAGATGACGAAGAAGCAGAGAGTGCCTGGGGTGCTATGGGAATTGTTTCAAAATCGTGCGCGTACTCTCGTGGAAACCATATTATCCCTGATCCCTCCAATGTCGTCGGCGCCGATTCGAAGAATGTGCAAATGTATTGGGCATTGTCTCCATTGTTGTCCTGCCGGTGACCGTATGGCGTTTCTGCTCAGAGAAGACGATCCATCCGACTACCGTAAGCTCCTCAACCAATGTTTTGTGGTCGTCTCGGAAGTTGCGCCCTCTCCTCCTCCTTCCCATCATCATTCTTTTTGGTCCCAACAAGAGGTCTCTCTCTCTCTCTCAAACACACACACACACACAGAGCAAGTGTACTGAATTTTTTGAAGAAAAGAGGTGAAAATTGACTTTCTACGAAAATGAAAATTGGAGGAAAACTATAGATTAATATCAATTCATGAAATGAAATAAGTATTCGATTACTTTGAAAAGAAAGCTCAATGTCGTAGATGAGGTGGTCACTAACGAATTTCATTACCATTGAATGCTATAAGCTGTTTCTTCTTCTAACTCATAGACTCGTATAATTGCATTGATGGCTATGTGTAGATTGTTACAATGAGCATTGAAATGATGTTATGTGAGAAACCATCCACAGAGAATATTATATGCGCTGGTTATAACAATAATGTAAGCTACTTTTATGGGGTTATAGCTGAACTTTTGTTGTCTTCATGACCCTATATATTAGTGCTAATGACTTGGGGGTGTTTGGCTTAGCTTTTTAGAGGCCAAAAGTCCTTTTAGGAGAAGATCGAAGGTAAAAGATGTTTGGCAAATGCATTTTAAAAGCTACTTTTGGATTTGGATACAAGTAAAAATGAACTTTTTGGAAAAGTGAAAACCTGACTTTTGGTAACTTTTCCAAAAAGGACTTTTGTCCCCTGAAAAGCTAAGTCAAACACCCCCTTGATATATATTGACAGTATGATCGTTCAAGCATCATTGTAGAAGCTCTTACATCAGCTTCATGGAGTCTGCTTTTAAAGAGGGTAATTCGTATTTAGTTCACCTCTCTTTCCCAAAATGATGAAATGTTTCTAAAGATATATATGTTTAGATCAAGATAGAAGAATCTTTGTGAAACAAGTAAACACAAAATCAATCAAAGTATACATTGAAAAGATGAAATTGAAGTATTTTAATTAGGGATTGTGCTGTTGTAATGTTAATGTGGTTATTAGGGTTATATATAAAATCTTTATACCATAATCATATGCAGGTAGGAGACCAGCTGATGGTTTATTTGTTGAAGAATTATTGGATATTTGTTCCTTTGCATAGAAAGAAACACCAACAGGTAGCAGGAAGTCCAATTACTGACTTATGCTGGAAAATCTTGGAGAATAAATCCGATTCCAAAACTCAGCAGGTAACTAACTTATTATGCATGTATCATTTATGCCCCTTTCACCTTGTTTCTTTTACCCTTATCATCATCTTCCATCTATTCATCGTTAATATTATATTGATTAGGTGTGCCACTGCCACTTCACCAACAAGTTGATTCAGAAGGTTGTATGAGTTGTCATGGCTGTAAACGTAGGAAGTTGTGTGATCATGCAAACTTGGTAATTAATTAGTTTTCCAGAATGTAATATACTTATATTCTGTTTTTTGGGAAAATCAAGTATTGAATCCTTGAAAGATGGTGCTGCTTCTTTCTTTTTGTTTTTGGCTTAATTCACTTGATGTGTAAAACACCTAATGAATACTTTGTCGTTTTATCATGCTTGAATATATGTGCAGAGGGTGTAACATGCTTGCCAAACATGCATGATTGTTTCTCTTGTAGGATTCTTTAACTCTTCCATTTTAACAATTCTTTTCAAACTTATTTTGTCTATAAATGCTTTTGATTGTTTGATTTTTCTTGATTATATAAATTTATACATTCTATAAAGTATAAACATATTTCTACTATCCATAAAACTTTAAGTGGTTTATAAATGGGTAGCAACATTTTATTTATTTATTAAACCTATATTTTGTATGTTAAATCATAAACCAAATGATATTTTTTATATTATAACAGCTAAAAAAAATCAATTTAATATTTAATATATGTATTAAACGTTTAGTAGTCGTTTATAGCGACAAGATATTTTTAGTAGTTTTATATATTCATTATTGCTCTTTAGTAATTTCTATATATTCATCATTGCTCTTTGTTTTGAGCATATTGACGAGATGTTTTTAATGGTCTAGTTTGTTTTGTATTTTGTTATGTATTATTAAGAAGTTAAGTTATTACTAGATTAGGGTAAAAAAATGAAAAAAATGAGAATGGAAGGATGTATAATGGAGTTTTAGAATTAAAACAAAGAATGTAAATGTAATCGAATATAAGAAGCCCACAATCATTTTTGAAAATTTGGATCGTATATGTCAGCAGACTTCGCTTACTTCATGAGATTTCTTGAACCTAAATTGTATCCGATAAGAGTAAAGAGATTGTGATGAAATGGATTTATGTTGTTTGGTGGGCTCAAATTATACTATTAATTGTTAAAATCTTGATTAGTATAAAATTCTAAATGAGATATCATATAATTTATGGATAATTAGAATTTTACAAATCAAAAGATTATAGTCTATTATATACCAAACAATTTAGATAGGCAGTTATATGGATCGCTTTACTAGTTTATTTCTTTGGGTTGTATTGTCAGCCAGTTAATTAATGAATTAAATTTTGAATTGGAATTAGGCAATTCTAATAAAATAAATTAAATGGGCATAATTGTCGGAATAAATATATTTAAGACGAATACATTTTATCAATGTTTTATTCATGAGATAAATTCTATACGGTATCATAGGAAGCTTAAACGAGCAAAGACGATGCTATGTATTTATGTACGAAAATACATTTTTAAAGAGTTTTAAAGAATGAGGAATGTTTAAGTTTTTTTTTTTTAAAGACTTTTTAGCATAACCATTGCATTCATGTATGTTGAGTTATGTCTTGAGTGAAGTATCGGGGACTACAGAGACAATGAACTTCGTAAGTTCATTATGTGGTCTCATGTTTCTAAAATCAGAGTAAAAACGGGGCTATAGTGAGAAATGCTAATACAAGAGTAGAAACTTGAGAAATGAGAAGTAGATGGATATGCATTGCATAAATTAGTTGGCATAAATTGCACATAACAACTACAAAGTAATAAAATAACAAATAAACGCAACATCCTATGGCAACGTTGAAGGGATAGTATATTTACAAAACTATCAAATATACAACCAAATAAATCACAATTTAGCAACTAATGAATTTCGAAATTGAAATACTTTGGAACTAGCAAAATTTATTGTCAACTTTTACGGAGGAGGAATTTCGAAATTCAATGGTGATTACCTACTAGGGATGTTCCAAAACTAATACTAATTTTTATTTGTCATTGTCAACAATTATTCCTGAAAAGATATTTTATAGGTCAAGGGTTGTTGTATCTTTCCAAAACATAACACATACTGTATTTTAAATTTGACAAAATTTCAAAATTGATGTCCGTTTTCGCTTCTCTAAGATAAGATAGGATCAAAACGTTTGATATAATTAAGAAAAATAGTTATTTTTGTTCATGTCCTTTTTTTTATTATTTTTTGTTTTTTTCTATTTATCAAACGCCCTTCATATATTCGTTTTGTGTTTATTTTTGTTTCTGACGTGCACTTCAAATCTTAAATAATACTTTTTCGGTCAACAATGGCAGCAAGAAGTTGGAATTTGTTTTTGCTGCTCTTGCGTTTTGTTTTATGGGTGCTACCTTTTATATGTGGTTCGTATCATATGTAAGAATTAAGATGGCCCCACCAGTTGTGTTTCTTCCTTTTACAAAAATTACGTTTCTAATTATATAAATATTTTATATATTGTATAAGATATCTATTATCGAGTTCTTAATATTTATTAATAATCACTGAAATCTTTAACATCTTTATTGAGTAAAAAAAAAACTATATTCATCTAGACATATTGTATAAACTACTTGCAATGGTTTAGACTGAAAATCATATATCACTTACAAGTATAACCCCATTTGAAGCTTTCTTCACTCGTACATTGTGGGGGTTGACAATCTTGGTGTTGGAATTGCAATGAGAGCAACTTTCTTCTTCAACACAATCCCAAACTTTTCAGAAAGATCATGTTTCTCTCCGGGACCCAATTCCCAATCAAATGAATGAACAAGCGATGCAAGCAAAAACATAAACATTCTCTCCGCCATTGCTAGCCCTGCACATATCCTCCTTCCAGAACCAAATGGAAGATAATTGAAGTCATTGCCATTGTAATCCCACTTGCTATCCAAAAACCTTTCAGGTCGAAACTCCAATGGGTTTTCCCAAATCGTAGGGTCTCTATGTATTGCCCATGCATTGATGAACATTCGCGCACCTTTAGGAACCATGTAGCCACCAATCACACATGACTCGCTAGGGCAACGTGGGATCAACAGTGGAAGTGTTGGATGCAAACGAAGAACTTCTTTCATGATGGCGTATAAGTATGGCAGTTTGTTGATGTGGGATTCTTCCACTATGTTGTCTTTTCCGACCACCGTTTCTAATTCTTGTTGTGCCTTTTTCAGGATTTCCGGTTTGTTCATCATCTCAGCCAGTGCAAACTCGACAGTATTTGAAGTCGTTTCTGTCCCTCCAACCACCATATCCTGAAATTAAGAGTTTTAAATTTAGATGAAAATGAAGGTGTCAATTAGTTTAATAAGTTGTAATCTCTACCATGAGCAAAGCTTTGAGATGTGCCATTGTGAATGGTGTTTTGGAATCTGTGTCGTCTTTAAGCTGCAACAAAAACTGTAAAAAATCCGAGTTTTCATCGCCACCCATCTTCCTCCGTTGATCAATCATCGTCTCAAAGATTACATCGAATTTCTTCGCCAACAATTTCATGTTTTTTTTAACTCCTTGAAGATCAAACCTGGCCAAACCCGGATAAAAGTCAGACAAGTTCGGCATCCCCAAGTATCCGGTCATCTCGGTGACCACTTGCCGGAACTCCGCTCCTAGGCTCGCCCTATCCTCCTCCTTCACCGTGCCACCCCACATCATCCCGGTAATCACATTCAACACAGTCAAAAACATCTGTTCGCCTAAGTTCACCGGAGACCCGACACGGCGGTACAAGTAGTTAACTGTGTTCCGGATCTCTTTCCGCCGGAGAGAGTAAACGGAATCCAAAGTTTTGTTGCTAAGCATTTCATGAACACAAATCTTTCTCAACATCCGCCACTGATCACCATAAGGGGACCAGACGATGTCGTTTCCACCATACGTCAACTCCATGCCGGCAACAGGAACGTCACGGTTGGAGAAGGTGGTGTCGTTGAGTTTAAGCACTTCACGGGCTAGGGCCGGGGAGGTGATCACGATTCCCACTCTTTTACCGAGCCAGATCCTGGAAATGGGTCCATATGTTTTTGCGAGGATGGCGAAGTAGGAGTGGAGCTCAGGATCAAGAGACAGGAGGTTTCCGACGAGTGGCAGAGATCGTGGGCCGGGCGGCAGTGGCGGGTGGGTGTCCTTTGATATAAAGATCCATACAAGCCAGAATATAGAAAACATAGCGGCGATGATGAGAATGGTGCTAGCGACTAGTTCATCGCCATAGCCAAATCCCCACCACCGTGACCAGTCGTCAGATACAGGGGCGGCAATTAGTTTCAACATCGCAGGGATAAGCAAACAGAGAAGTAAAAATGAAATTGATAAAGAATGATGATGGTAGTTGGTTTAAATATCGGTCACAAATGGCGGATTCAGCCTATTGACTAAAAAACACCTCCCTAATGAAATACTCTTTGTCCATTACTCCATTTACAACTTGGATATAATAGCGTTATTATTTTTCTAAGTGTTATTATTATTATTATTATTATTATTATTATTATTATTATAAGTTCAAATCTAGTGTGGAGTATATGTAAAATTATAAATTTCTACGAGGGAAGAAAAACAGTTATTTTTAAAACACAAATGTATGTACAAATTCGTTACTCATACATTGTGGGTGCTTAGTAGAATTAGGTTAATCCTCTACCGTATGGCCCTTTCAACTAATTCCATCATCCATACACCATCAAATCTCGCCCCCTTCACCATACTTGAACCTTCCCTGACTTCGAAGATTTGTTGATCAATGATCCCCTCTAACTCTATCAAGTTCGACCTAATTCTCTTCAAGCTCGACCACATACCTCTATGACCTCCCACATCCTTCCTGATGTTCATCTTTCTTTGCGTCACCCCAATCTGAATTCTTCAACTCCTTCTATGATCCTTAACGTAATACTATTCCCCATTAGCGGTATTTTCGCCATGTCCCCTTGACAACGGGTGTAACTTCATCCCCGACATGTATACAAGATGTGGATGTGTGTGCTTATGGTGGATCTGGAAAGGAATTAATTGTGGATGTGGGTGCTTATGGTGGAACTGGAAAGAAAAATTAACACTATGATCCAACATCTGGTGTAATAGAAAAAATAGTATATATGAGAAAGTTGCTTATTATGCAACATTACTAGATATATGGGAAACTGGTAATTCTAAAATCGTCACTTTGATAAAAGGAAGTTTGGGCCAACTTGGATATATTGTATACTCAATCTAACTTTGATAAACAATACCATTAAGAGACTGATATTCGAGTCCTCCAATAGAATATTATGAGTGTTAAAGATTTTTAAAATATCATGTACGGTTTATCAGATCAGTTAGCTTTTACAGAGTCTGCTGAGTTAAAATCTTTCCAACCCTACATTTATACGAGAGAAGAGAAACTTTGGGTTATGACCTTACAATCCTATAATGTTTAGAACTCATGATGTTGTGTGAGCTCATCGTGTTGTATTTAAACTTAAGATCCCATAAACTCCATATTTAGCTTGTGATTAATTGTTTGGATTATGAAATTGGATGTTATTTAATGTGAATACCATGTTTTTGGAAGTCCTTTGGTTTTATTAAGTTATTAGAATGAATGTGACTGGACCTAAGAATGAGTTGGACTAGATTTGAAAGCAACATAGAATTGAAAAAATACATTTACGGTGTATTTGGGTGATTCGATCGGTGTTATCCAAGTGAAAAAGCACATAGGTCGTGCAATATGCCTATTTTGGGCAAATAATTACTTTATGTAAACAAGGTCTGATTCATGCATAAATATGCCCTTCTATGATGTTTAGGATGAATTTGGACCAATTCTTTTTTTTTTTTAAACACAAATAACTTAATTGAGGGATAACTAACCTACCCGTTGTTAACTTTAGGTGATCACTAAATGAAATTATTTTGAAAATGAGAGTTATTTCATTAAGGAAAACTCTTGGTTTGAAATGGAATTATTTTGAGTATTTACATCTACATTCACATAAGACATGTTGGGACATGTGGCCGCTCATGACTTGAATATCCAACAGTAGAATCAAATACCTAGATTGAGGGATTGACGATGACATTCTATAAGGCTTCATTAGCATGAGAGACTGCAATCTCTTGTGTGGTTCTATGCAATGGCTTCCTAGAACCCAACATTGGACAAAATTTTGATCTATTCACATATGTATGGAGGGTGGAGTGTGGAGTGTGTTTTGTGCTTACTTTACACATGTCTATGGTATCCGTATTTGGTGAGTTGGACTATAAGATTGGCTTAGGGTTGAGAGTAGTTGCAATTGCATTATTGAGTTATTAAATTATGAATTGAATTGTAATTCATTTGTGTTTTTTAGTTTATCCCCAAACTCATGTCCTAATGATCTTTTAAGACATTGAAAACTATTTTTGTGGTGAGACTTTGAGACTGGATGACTGCTCTCATTCTTTCCCCTTGAGTAATTGACCATGAGAATACTCATTTGGTTTTTCAAATCTAACAATTGTATTTTGACGTGTACTCTATTTGGAAGATTTAGTGAAGACAAAGACAAGTTTAGTTCTTGGATATTGAGAAGACATTGTTAATTTATAATATATTTGTTGTAAGTTGTTACTTTAAACTACTCTATAACACCATATTTCGATTCGTTTCATAATTCGGGGCCGTGACCCGAAGATCAAGTATCATAAGGATTTGGGATTTGGGAAAGAGAGGTTTAGACCCATTCAGATGTGGGTAATGTAGATTATGTGATCCAATAGTTCGGTTTGTACTTTGGAGTCAAAGGGTAAAATGGGAAAAATAGTGTTTCAGACTTCTTTTATGAATTATGGATTTTAGTTCGATGTGCTTTAAGTCAAAAGTAATTAGATAGGGTTGTAGAGCTCCTCAATACCTTTCCGTAGATATAAAGATCGTTGAAATCGGATTTGAAACGAAGAAGTTATGGCTGTTTGTAGTTTGGACAGTTTTGGGTTAAGCCGCGTATGATGGGCGTACGGGGAAGTACAGTGGACGTAATAGGGCATCCATGAGTATGTTGGGTGTACCAGGAGTACGCTGGACGTACGCGATTAGTGCCCAAACCCTATTTTCGTGGTTTAAGACCTATTTAAGATCCTTAACTTCCCCAAACCCATTCCATTCTCAGCCTCCACCTCTCCAACACCCTCTCATGAAAACCCTAACCCTAGTTCGAGCCTTTTGAGCAAAAGAAGGTGATATTGAGTGCTTTGGATTGTTCTTAGTTCATCTTGGAGAAGAAGGAGCTCTTTGGAGAAGTGTTGGTTGCATTGGAGCTTGTAAATCCATACTTTGTTCACCTTGATCTTTCTTCTAGTGGTATACAGTTTGAATCTTGATGATGCATTTGATAGATCTAGCTAGTCTTGGATATTATGAGCTTTTGGTCACTTTAGTGCATAAAGTTTAGATCTTGAAAGTTTGTGACCTTGTTATGGATAAAGTTGGAAACTTTATCCATCTAAACATCATATTAATTCAGATCTAAAGGTTGGAGACTTGGACTTAATGAATTAAGTTGAAAGAGATGCTCTTTTGGTCCCTTTGAGACTTAAAAACTAGATCTTGGTGGTTTGGACCATTCTAATGGATAAAGTTGATCCATTATGGAAATATTAGGATCCATAAAAATGTGATCTTGGTCCTTCTACCCCTTCCATGAAAGTGTCATGATGTCTTAATGGATTAATAAGTTAAGGTTTTCGATTTTGGACCTTTTCTAGACATGGAAAGTCATAAAGGTGGAAACTTTATGACTCAAAATGATGTTGTGGGACTACATTTGAGTGTTGGATGAAAGGACTTAAGAGAATAAGCACTTAATGGAAAAGTGCCATTTGACCGAGTACGTTGGGCGTACCTTTGAGTACGCTATGCGTACTCGTATGGGGTCCTGATTTTGGATGGTGAGTATGCCATGCGTACGATCTGATTACGTTGGGCGTACTCAGCCTAAAGTTTGACTTTCGTTGATCGTTGACTTTTGACCAAGTTTGACCGTGGGTCAAACTTAAGGATTTTGGGCTATCAATTAAGATTTTATTTGGATCAGGTGTTAGTGGATTTGCGGGTGCAAGCAGTGTAGAAAAGGGATCGTATCGTAGTGTTTCAGAGTTCTTTGATTCAAGTGAGTTTTCTCACTGTGCTTGTGGGTCGAAGGCACCAATGTCGGCCCACTAACTTGTGTATGTAGGATGGTTGTTGTCTTTGTGACTCTTGCATGAGTGGTTGTGTATATACGTGCTGACCAGCTGGGTCTTATTCGTTGTCACTATTATATGTGATATTGTGTATACTGAGACCTTAAGTAGTCTCCAGGGTATCTGATAACCCACATGGCCTGCTGTTTGCCCTGAGACTTCGGGTAGTCTCCAGGGTTGCTGATAACCTATGGGGCGTGCTGTTTGCCACTGAGACTTCGGGTAGTCTCCATGGTTGCTGATAACCTATAACTGTTTATTTGTCATATGTCGTGTGTGATATTTTGGGGAACTCAGTAAGATTTGTGCTTACGATTGTGGTTTAAATGTTTTTAGGTTTTCTTATAATAAAGGAGGGGCACGGCTCGATTGCATCGCATCCATGGGAGACTTGTGCACATGATAACTTTTGACGATACTCTGATTTTAAGATTAAATGGTCGTATTTAAGATTTTGTAGTTTGTGATTTGAATAAACACTTAAATTTTTAATTGAAAATTTTAGGGCGTTACATATTGTCTATGATTATTTTTGTTACACGCTTATATGCCTTGAAATGTATTGTCCCAAAAATATCAATAAAAATTTTCATTTTTAAACCATTAATTCCATACAACCATTTGCTCCAAAACCAATCAGAATGAATTGATTTTTTCAAACATTAGAGTAAAACAAATATAATCAGTGCAGAAAAGCCATTAGGGGATGCTGTACAGTCAAACTGGGATCTTCCCATTGGAACTGGAAGTACCTGAAAAAATGTTAAACCACAAACCATAAACACAAAGCTTAGCGAGTTACCCAAAATACCACATACTGTAACGTCCCAGAAACACTAAGTAAGTTTTTTTTTATTTTTAAGCCAGCAAAAACCATCAGACATCCGTTTCATAAACCAATCAAAGTGTGACAATGTAGAAAATAGTTATCAGAGTACAAATCAAAATCACAGAATGCAGAACACTGGTGGATGCTGTGCGATCATGCCGAACCCTTCTCCTTCGAACCAGAGGTACCTAAAACCATAAACATAAACTGTAAGCACAAAACTTAGTGAGTTCCCCAAAATACCACATACTATACATACATCGGGCCCCACCCGGTACAGATCTGTTAGTAACATGTAATGGG